AAGGAGGAGGAAGGAGGAGGAGGAAGGAAGAAGGAAGAAGGAAGAAGGAAGAAGGAAGAAGGAAGAAGGAAGAAGGAAGAAGGAAGAAGGAAGAAGGAAGAAGGAAGAAGGAAGAAGGAAGGAAGAAGGAAGAAGGAAGAGGAAGAGGAAGAGGAAGAGGAAGAGGAAGGAAGAAGGAAGAGGAGGAAGGAAGAAGGAGGAGGAGGATGAAAAAGGAGGAGGAGGATGAAAAAGGAGGAGGAGGATGAAAAAGGAGGAGGAGGATGAAAAAGGAGGAGGAGGATGAAAAAGGAGGAGGATGAAGGGAAGGAGGAGAAAAGGAAAGAAGAAGAGGAAAAAAGAAGGAGGAGGAGGAAGAATAAGAAGGAGGAGGAGAGAAGGTGGAGGAGGAGGAGAGAAGGTGAAGGAGGAAGACGAAGAAGAGGAAGAAAGAGGAGGAAGATGAAGAAGAGGAAGAAGATGAAGAGGAAGAAGAAAAGGAGGAAGGAGATGCTTTAGAAATGCCCCAGGCTGGGAGGCCCTTTGCTGGGGTGGGGGATGGGCCGCAGCCCCCACCTTGGCCCACTCGCGCGCCCGCTGCTTGGTGCGGACGGCGCTGCGCTCCTCGGCGTAGAGCGCCCCGATGAAGGCGCCGATGGAGGTGCCGCCCACCATGTCGATGGGGATCCCGGATTCCTCCATCGCCTTGATCACCCCGATGTGGGAGCAACCCCTGGCCGGAGGGGAGAAGATGAAGAGGATGGACAACAACGGGACCCCCCCCACCCTGGTGGGGCACATCCTGCCCTGGAGCAGCACCCACCTGGCTCCGCCCCCCCCCAAGACCAGGGCGATGGTGTTGCCGGTGAGGACCCGCGCCAACCGGGAGAAGTCGCTGTGCCGGTCGGCGCTCTTCTCAAAGACCTTCTCATACATCTCCCGCTGCGGATAGGATGGCCGAGGGGTGACGAGGACGGTGGTGGTGGCCCACCAAGGTCACCCAGGGAGGGGGAGGGGACACACACATACCAGTTTGGTGGGGCTACGGCGGGAGAAGACGCGCCGAGGACACTTGATGTGGAGGTGACCCGAGCACCAACTGCGCATGTTGAGCCACTCAACGGTGCGGGAAGGGCTGGGACCGTCCTCGCGGTGTAGGAGGACCAACTGCTTCAGCGCGCGCACCGCCGTGTTCTCCAGCATCTGCTCCAGCTGTAGAAGCCATCAGCCACCTGCCCATGCCATCGTGGCCCACCACCGCTTAACCCCCACCTCACCTCTCCCAGTGCCGGCTCTTGGTCGCCCAACCCAACGATGAGGATGCAGTCGGCTTGACGGATGCAGCGCACCGTCCACGGGGTCAAGGTACAATCGGTTTGGTAGAGGACGATGCGGTGGATGTCCTCCTGCTGCGCCAACCAGCCCGACAGGCGGTACTCCTGGATGCTGCCGAGATGGAAGGGTCAGCTGGTGGCACAGTGGTGGGACGCCAGTGATGTTCCTCCCAAGGGGAGTTACCTGTCCAGCGCTGAAGAGCCGAGACGGGCACGGATGATGTCACTGGTGAGGAGCAACGTGGGACCTGGGAGAGGTGGGGGACATGGTGACCGTTGTCCCACAGGGCTGTGGTCACCACCATGGTGTGGGGCTCTGGTCATAACCATGGCGTGGTCACCACCATGGCACGGGGCTCTGGTCATTGCGATGCCATGGTCACCACCATGGCATGGGGCTCTGGTCACCGCCATGGTGTGGTCACCACTATGGTGTGGGGCTCTGCTCACCACCATGGCATGGTCACCACCATGGTGTGGTCACCACTATGGCGTGGGGCTCTGGTCACCGCCATGGCATGGTCACCACCATGGCATGGTCACCACTATGGCGTGGGGCTCTGGTCACTGCCATGGCGTGGTCACCACCACGGCATGGGGCTCTGGTCATCGCCACGTCATGGTTGCCACCATGGCATGGGACTGTGATCACCACCATGCTGTGGTCACCATCATGCCATGGGGCTGCGATGGTCACCATGCTATGGTGCCCACCATGCCACAGGACCATGGTCACCTCCAGGCCATGGCCACCGCTGTGCCATGGTCACCACTGTGCTGGCACTCACCAATGGCGTTGAGCGCGTGCTTGAGCTCCAGCGTGAAGGCAGCCGTGGGCACGTCATCGCACACCGGCAGCACCGCCACCGTTGACAGGTTGCTGGTGGGGTTGGTGGGCTCCGAGCTGGAGGCCATGCCCAAGCCAGAGCCTGCACGGATGGAGATGATGGGGTGGTGGAGACCTTCCATGCACTGCTCTGGAAGGGACGGGGGGCCACCACGAGGAGACGGGGGGCCACCCTGAGGCAACGGGGACCACCACAAAGTGATGGGGATCCACCATGAGGTGATGGAAGACCCACCAGCCCTGGAGATGCCACCCCCACGTCTCCAATCCCTTTGGGACCTACTTGCAAAGGGCCCACGGAGCTGCTGAAGGTTTCCCAAGATCTTCTGGCTCAGGAGGTGAATGAGGCGGGTGACAACCTGCAGGGATGAGGATGAGGATGGCCATCAGACCTAGCACGCCTTCCTAAGATGGAGGTTCATTAACACCCCAGACTGGTGTCCCACACGCCTTTTTGGGTCCCACCACCACCCCCCCCCATCCTTGTGGACCTCAGAGAGGGACAACATCTCCTCCAACAGCTCTAATCATGTCTTGAATTCCTTAATCTAAGCTGGTTTTAACGAGGGTCGCAGCCACCAGCTGGGGGAGGGGACACATGGGGACACGCTCCTTCCATGGGAAGAGGGTGTAGACCCCAGGAGGAGGATCTGGGGGTACCTGGGGGTATCTCCGCTTGATATTGTTCAAGGTGCCCTCAGGCAGCTTGGCCAGCTCTGTGTCCCGGACCGCGTGGACTGTGGTGGCCCGGGGCTGCCGGGTGAGGGCTTCCACCTGGAGAAGAAGACATATAGCCACAATGTGTCCACCAGACGTATAGGATGTCCATCGCTTGGCCCCAACACGGCTCTCACCACGCCAATGAGGTCCCCGCGGCCGTACTCCCCAATGAGCTCTTTTTTGCCGCTGCCCTTCTGGATGACGGAGCGGAGCCGCCCGTTGAGTGCGATGTAGGTGCAGTCCGACTTGTCCCCCTGCCTGGGGGACACCACCAGTGGGACCTCAGCCCCATTGCCAAGGTGACCCTCCCCAAGCGGAGGGGGGCAC